GAGTGAAACATCTTCTTCCCCTCCAAGTGGAAAATTTGCTCTGGCCTTCCTGAATGCGGGAAGGGAACGGCTAAGAGGCCCGCGTGATTGTGGGGATGGAAAACATTTCTGTAAACCATAGAAGAAGTGTGAAGTTACAGAGAGCAGGATTCATTACATGATTCTACAAGCCCGCAGAGGTGAGGCCTTAACACGACTCTACAAGCCCGCAGAGGTGAGGCCACCGCCGGGTGAGCTTAGGTTTCTGGCAGCACGGCTGCTCCTGTGGGGCCCTGCCCTCACGCCGTCCTGCCTGTCCCGGGTCCTCAACCTTCACATCCTTCAGGTGAACTAGGAGGGCCGACTCCTGGTTTTCAGAACCACTGCTAATTCCCTCTTACCTCTTCGAAATGTCCCATTGTTTCACCCTCAAGTTCACCCTCTTCCCGCAAGAGAAAGTGTCAAACTGAAGCGACACAGGTGGACAGGAGAGCAGGGTGTGTGGGCACGTTACCGCAGAGAGCGAGTGGCTCCTGTGTCAGGAATGTCTTCTCCCCCACCCCGGGGTTCCTCTCTGGGGTTTTCCTAACCTTAACTCTGCTTTAGTTGGGCGGATAGGAAGAGATACGGGCAGCGTGGTGGGCACCATCCTCCAGCCCGAATGGCAGGTCCCTGCCATGTAAACTGGAGAGGAAGAGGGTGAGATCCATTTACTAACCTTCCAAGGATTCCTGGGTACCTGCCAGCTACATTGCGGATCCAGGCTCTCATTTGTTCAAGAAGCTTTGTTTCACGCAGGACCTTTTTTTTTTTTTTTTTTTTTTAATTTTTTTTTTTCAACATTTATTTATTTTTGGGACAGAGAGAGACAGAGCATGAATGGGGGAGGGGCAGAGAGAGAGGGAGACACAGAATCAGAAACAGGCTCCAGGCTCTGAGCCATCAGCCCAGAGCCTGACGTGGGGCTCGAACTCACGGACCGCGAGATCGTGACCTGGCTGAAGTTGGACGCTTAACCGACTGCGCCACCCAGGCGCCCCTCACGCAGGACCTTTTATCCTTTCTTGGGATTGCGTGTCCCGGGCCCATCACCCGTGGGCATTTGAATGGCCTCTTGCGTTCTTTTTGTTCCTGAGCCGACTGCCCTCTGGGACGAAAGATGCGGAACTGGATGATGTGTTTTGTTTACCCAAATTACAGGAGGAGGGCACATGTCATAAAGCCCGCGTCACCGTAAAAAAGGGATGGGGAGACCGAGGCAGAGCCTAGTCACCACCAGGGACGTCTAGAGCCTGGGTCCAAGCTTTGGATAAATGGTGACTTAAAAAAAAAGTTTTCAGGGGTTTCCTGGGTGGCTCAGTCGGTGAAGCGTCCGACTTCGGCTCAGCTCATGATCTCGTGGTCCGTGGGTTCGAGCCCCGCGTCGGGCTCTGTGCTGACAGCTCGGAGCCTGGAGCCTGCTTCAGACCCTGTGTCTCCCTCTCTCTCTGCTTCTCCCCTGCTTGTGCTCTCTCTCTCAAAAATAAATAAACATTAAAAAAATTAAAAAACAAAACAGTTTTCAGACCGTTTCACCTCCAGTGGGAGTTGGGTGGTAGTTCATGATTCTGTGTCTTGAGTTCTTTAAGAACCTCGATCTATAAACGATCAGCATGGTGGGTAAAGTTCGACCACAGGGACGGATGCTTTGCTAATGGTGATTTGATGGTGAGTTTTCATTTTAACTGTAGTTTGCTGCTTAAAAATAACAGTAGTGACATTCAGGGATTATTCCTAAGTGGGTGGACTCTTTCATGGGTATTATCTGGCAGATGGAGTTTGCATTTCCTGTATTTTGCAGTTTAAATGTTCAATTTCATTCTAAAAGGAAGACCATAATCACAGACGTGCCTTGTCATGGATATTTTCACAACGATATTAGCCTAGAACTGTTGATGTTTTCTTCCCTCCGTACCTTTTATCTGGGCTCTAGTTTGATGCTGGGGATACAGTTTCCTGTCCGGTCCCACAGGCACCTGTCTGAGACAGTGCTGGCCCCGGGGTGTTTCCTCTGGGCTAAGCCGACCATCTAGGGAAAGTGCGGTGGCATTCTTAGTTCTGTTCTGAGACATGTGAACGCAAGGTGAGTTGTTCTTTAGCTCATCCCTGTCGAACCTGCGTGTTGATTTCATCTGTATTTTTTTTCTTCTTTTTTTTCAAATTTTTATTTAAATTCTAGTGAGTTAACACACAGTGCAATGTCGGTCTCAGGAGGAGAACTCAGTGATTCATCACTTCCATTCAACCTCCAGAGCTCATCACAACAAGTACCCTCCTTAATACCCATCACCCGACTTCATCTTTTTTTTCTTTTTTTAAGTATTTTTATTTTTATTTTTGAGAGAGAGAGAGAGAGACTGAGCGTGAGTGGGGGAGGGGCAGAGAGTGAGGGACACAGAGAATCCGAAGCAGGCTCCAGGCTGCCGAAGTTGAATGCTTAAACGACTGAGCCACCCAGGTGCCCCGGATTTCATCTTTAATAGTAGTTTTTCCCACCCAGATTATTAGAAGGGTTTGGATGTGTCCCACAGTGAGTGACCAAGCTGAGGGGGATGTCTTAGTACTGCTGATGGATTTGTGGTTTATGTGAATTTTCACGGGGATGCATATTGTCACCTCAGTAGAAATTCTACCTTGACCCCGGTATAGTTATTTTTGCTAGGAATGTACGATCTTTTACAGATTATACACCCCACCCAAAAAAAGTCATTAAATACTTTAGTAAAATGTGCAAGACAATCTCTCAGTGATTTAAAGCAGATTTTCATGAGGAACAGCCGTTAAGTATTGAAAAGGAAAGAGTCTAACTCTGGAAAACAGTATGGAGGTTCCTCACAAAACTAAAAATAGAACTACCCTATGACCCAGCAATCGCACTACTAGGCATTTATCCACGGGATACAGGTGTGCTGTTTCGAAGGGACACGTGCACCCCCATGTTTATAGCAGCACTATCGACAATAGCCAAAGTATGGAAAGAGCCCAAATGTCCATCGATGGATGAATGGGTAAAGAAGATGTGGTATATATGTATATATATACAATGGAGTATTACTCGGCAATCAAAAAGAATGAAATCTTGCCATTTGCAACTATGTGGATGGAACTGGAGGGTATTATGCTAAGCGAAAGTAGTCAGAGAAAGACAAATTTCCTATGACTTCATTCATATGAGGACTTTAAGACACAAAACAGATGAACATAAGGGAAGGGAAGCAAAAATAATACAAAAACAGGGAGGGGGACAAAAACATAAGAGACTCTTAAATATGGAGAACAAACAGAGGGTTACTGGAGGGGTTTGGGAGGTGGGATGGGCTAAATGGGGAAAGAGCACTAAGGAATCTACTCCTGAGATCAGTGGTGCACTATATGCTAACTTGGATGTCAATTTTAAAAAATAAAAAAGAAAGTTAAAAAAAAAAAAAAAAAAAGGAAAGAGTCTAGGAATATGTATCTATAAATCAGGCTGATTCTTCCATGGAATGTTGCCTAAAATTAGCTATGGCCCCCTTCCCTTCTACATTGGTTTTTTTGTTTCCTATTTTTCCTCTCTTCCTGGTTGCTTGCCTCCATCCACTGCAGGGAGAGGGAATAGGCCCTTAGAGATTCCCTTCCTTCCTGAGGATCCCAGAGCTAGTGAGTGACGGGGGCTGGGTCTAGGCCCGGCTTCCGGTTAGAAATCCAGTGTGCTCGTGCCTGACTTTGTGGCGTGGTAGTCATGTAGCATTTATGGTGTCACAGTGAGTGAGACATTGCCATCTTCAGTCAGCTGACAGGCTAGTAGGAACGAAGAGACAAATGTATGCCATGCTGCATACCAGAAAATACTGGAAACGGGTGGAGTGCTCTGGGGTTCAGGCAGGAGAGAGATCTCTCTCACAGTGGAGTTACATCTGATTACGTGTCCTCTGCAGGTGGGCAAAGGGTGCCCTTTAAAGACCCCAAGCATTTCACGTGTTTGTAATCGATCCTTCATCTGTAGTAATGGCCGTGACCGTCCATTTCCCTAAAACTGTGTCTTCCTACTGCCCAGGGCGTTGCTGACATTCACAGAATGTTCTCCACCCCCATCTAGCCCCAGTGCAGAGGAGAAGACCTCCCTTCTCCCAGGCTCTGCCACACCCTGGGGTCCATGTTGCTCCACGCTGAGAACAATGTCATGGCAGGGTCATCCTCAGCCGCCACAGCCACGTGGACCACTGTGCTGGATGAGTGGCAATCAGGAAATGGCTGTGTGTTACCTTAACCACTAAAAGCAGTGAACCAGAGAGGGAAAAAGAAGGGACGTTATACTTTTCTGCCAGGAGAGTATTTTTTTCCCTAACATAATAGAGGAAAGTAGGATTCTAAAAACGGATGGAATAAGCTCCCTAGGATTTTTTTTTTTTTTTTTTTTTTAACTCTCAGGTGGAACTTTATTAGCAGTAGACATTATGTGATGGGTTGGGATGCTCCTTTGTTCCGTGGGCGGGTCGAGATCTGTAATTGGTTTTTTGGTTTCTTTTTTGATTGTCATATATTCCTTTTAATGCAAGAGGCCAAACGTGGTGGTGACTATAATCGTGCTAATTTTGCCAGGAGAATCGAATGGTGTTGAGATCGAAATAGGTTCGGGAATAGCTTTTTGTGAAGACAGTGTGAGGAGTCCAGTGATGCATGGCAAGTTTTCTGGGTGTTCCGTCGAAACCTACTCTTTGTGCCGTCCCGGTTCCAGTCAGCTTCCTTCTTGTTAGAGAGGTGCCATGCTGGGAATGCTGTGTGGCATTCTGGAGAAATCAGTTTGAAGCTGTGATTACCCAGGCTTTACCCACGTTCTCTGGACGTTTGTTCACTCAGAGTCCCCTCGCTGTAAGAAGGGTAGTTACCAACTTGCTGTCTCCCGGTCATCGTCACTGTGTTTGTGTAAATCCCATAGGGATATTTATCCCATCGTTACCAAGTTTTCCTTGCTGATGGAATTGTTTCTGTTCGCTTAACAGAACATCTGATCAAATTCATGACCATGGGGGATATGAAGACCCCAGACTTTGATGACCTCCTGGCAGCATTTGACATCCCAGACATGGTCGATCCGAAAGCAGCCATCGAGTCTGTACACGAGGACCAGGAAAGCCACATCAAGCAGAACGCCCATGGCGACGAGGACTCCCACACACCGTCCTCTTCCGACGTGGGCGTCAGCGTCATCGTGAAGAACGTTCGGAACATCGATTCCTCCGAGGGCGCCGAGAAGGACGGCCACAATCCCACTGGCAACGGCTTGCACAACGGGTTTCTCACCGCGTCCTCTCTCGACAGTTACGGCAAAGATGGATCGAAGTCCTTGAAGGGAGATGCGCCTGCCTCGGAGGGGACTTTAAAAGACTCCACGTTCAGCCAGTTTAGCCCCATCTCAAGCGCTGAAGAGTTTGACGACGACGAGAAGATCGAAGTGGACGACCCACCGGACAAAGAGGACGTGCGTTCCGGTTTTCGGGCGAACGTGTTGCCGGGGTCGGCCGCCCAGCAGGACTATGACAAGCCAAAGGCGCTCGGAGGGGACGGTTTGAGCAAAACTGGAATCTCTCCTTCAGGCAATGTAGATAAAAACAGAGTCGTTAAGAGAGAGACAGAAACAAATTCCATAAATCTGAGTGTTTACGAACCTTTCAAAGCCAGAAAAGCAGAGGATAAGCTGAAGGAAAACTCTGAAAAGGTGCTTGAAAACCGGGCCCACGACGGGAAGCTGAGCTCGGAGAAGAGTGAACCCAGCCTCGGCAGCGTCGCGCTGTCGAGGTCAAAGCCATCGTCCAAGCTGTCCTCGTGTATAGCTGCAATAGCAGCACTTAGTGCTAAAAAGGCTGCTTCCGACTCCTGCAAGGAACCGGTGACCGAATCCCAGGGGGCCTCTCCGTTACCTAAAGAAGCAAACGATAGTCCCAGAGCCATGGAGAAGTCTCCTGAATCCCAGAGCCTCATCGACGGGACAAAGAAAGTGTCCCTGAAGCAGCCCGATAGCCCCAGGAGCATCTCCAGTGAGAACAGCAGCAAGGGGTCTCCGTCCTCTCCCGCAGGGTCGACACCAGCAATCCCCAAAGTCCGCATAAAAACCATTAAGACGTCTTCTGGGGAAATAAAGAGAACAGTGACGAGGGTGTTGCCAGAGGTCGATCTCGACTCTGGAAAAAAGCCTTCCGAGCAGGCGGGGCCCGTGATGGCGTCTGTGACGTCTCTCCTGTCCTCTCCGGCTTCGGCTGCCGTCCTCTCCTCCCCGCCCAGGGCGCCTCTGCAGTCGGCGGTGGTCACCAACGCAGTCGCCCCTGCGGAGCTGACCCCCAAACAGGTCACCATCAAGCCCGTGGCAACCGCCTTCCTCCCAGTGTCCGCCGTGAAGACGGCGGGATCCCAAGTCATTAATTTGAAGCTCGCTAACAACACGACGGTCAAAGCCACGGTCATATCTGCTGCCTCTGTTCAGAGCGCCAGCAGCGCCATCATCAAAGCCGCCAATGCCATCCAGCAGCAAACCGTTGTGGTGCCGGCATCCAGCCTGGCCAACGCCAAACTCGTGCCAAAGACTGTGCACCTCGCCAACCTTAACCTTCTGCCTCAGGGCGCCCAGGCCACCTCCGAGCTCCGCCAAGTGCTAACCAAACCTCAGCAGCAAATAAAGCAGGCAATAATCAATGCAGCAGCCTCGCAACCACCCAAAAAGGTGTCTCGGGTCCAGGTGGTGTCCTCCTTGCAGAGTTCCGTGGTGGAAGCTTTCAACAAGGTGCTGAGCAGCGTCAACCCGGTTCCAGTTTACATCCCCAACCTCAGTCCTCCTGCCAACGCAGGCATCACGTTACCGACCCGCGGGTACAAGTGCTTGGAGTGTGGCGACTCCTTTGCCCTGGAGAAGAGTCTGACCCAGCACTACGACCGACGCAGCGTGCGCATCGAAGTGACGTGTAACCACTGTACAAAGAACCTCGTTTTTTACAACAAGTGCAGTCTCCTTTCCCACGCCCGCGGGCACAAGGAGAAGGGGGTTGTGATGCAGTGCTCCCACTTGATTTTAAAGCCAGTCCCAGCCGATCAGATGATTGTCTCTCCGTCGAGCAATACTTCCGCTTCGTCCTCTACTCTTCCAGGCTCCGCGGGAGCCGGCACACACACTGTAACGAAGATTCAGGCTGGCATCACCGGGACAGTCATATCCGCTCCCTCCAGCACACCCATCATTCCAGCTATGCCTCTAGACGAAGACCCATCCAAGCTCTGCAGGCATAGTCTGAAATGTTTGGAGTGTAACGAAGTTTTCCAGGACGAGACGTCGCTGGCCACACACTTCCAGCAGGCTGCAGATACGAGTGGACAAGTAGAGTATCCCTTACGTTTTGGTGTTTCGGTGACAGATCTGTAGACATGAGTGCTCTAGACGATGCCCTTGATTTTAGGGGTGGGAGCTCAATTATAAATGGGAGTGCACGTGTGTGTGTGTGTGTGTGTGTGTGCGCGCGTGTGCGTGCGCGAGCGCACGAGGGAAAGGATTGTCTTCGGAGGCTTGAACAACGTTGAAATAACGAGTCTCATTTTACAAACAACGTCTTTGGAAGACGAGGTCTTTTTTGACAGAAACTCTCTGTACTAGTTGAGTTATGGCGCCTTAGATGTGGGATAAACGCGTTCTTAATTGTTGGGTCACCGGTATATGTGTGGGAGGTCTGAGATGGGGCCAATTATAGTATCCTGCCCTTGTATCAGGTGTTCAAATCAGGTTACATCACCAGCGTTCCTGGTTATTAATGACAGTTTGGGGATTTAAAAAAATTCCTGTTACTTACAATTACTGCCCTTTACAGTTAAACAGACTTATCGGTACCCACTTAACATGGTGTGCCTGCTTACGAGAGACGTTGGTCCAGAAGTACGTTCAGTAATAGTCCCCAGTATGATGAATTTAACCTGCAAGTGGAAAACCATCTCCGCTTGAACAGAATGCCTTCGCGTTTCTTCATAGCTTTTCATTTTTATTTTTATTTATTTATTATCTTTTTTGGGCGCTGAGGTGTAGGTTGATGTTGGTGACATGCAGGTCACAGTGGACGTCAGTGAGCCCTTTTATCTCCTATCCTCGTCTTCTCTCCATGAGCCACCATTTGGCCAATGGATCGATCAGTGCGTTTTACAGATACGTGATACTTACCGTTTGGAACTAACTGAACGTGTTGAATGAACCAAATTCAGGCTAGAGAGACTGTATGGTTTATTGTCCAAACGAGGAAACTCATGAAATTGGAAGGGGGTGCTAGTTTGCGCCACTACTGGCTCGGACTTCTGTTTGTGAAGACCCACGGGTGATCCGCTTTCCTTTATTTGCCGCTGTCTTGTCGCCTGAGGTTGATGCTGTGCTCCAGAGGTCTCTTAGAGCTGCCGCGATCAGTTTCCTCAAGGGCCGCTGCTGAGTTCTTTGTAGGATTTGAGTCTGGGGAACAAAAGATCAAGAATACCTCAATAATTTTTTGTTCTCTGGATTTGCAGTTTAGTGGAGGTGGAAATGGTAGAGAGCTTTGAGAGCATCCTTGCAGCATTGGACGTTACGTGTCCTCGGCCCAGACAGTGGAGCACTCCACAGAGCGGCCGACTAGTTCGGGCAGGCGGCGGCTGACATAGCTCTTCTACTGTGTCCTTGTGACAGCACCTGGGGTCTTTCTGGGTGCCCTCTGACCTCGTCACTGCTTCATCAGAAGGGTCCTGTTTCTTCGCGTCTTAAAAGGATAGAGTTAAAAAAAACAAACAAACCCACTTCTTTCATTCTGTTTGTTCTCTTGCCTTGTTTCTGCGTCCGCTGGTACTCTCCGTGGGGTGGCAGGGTGAGTCCTGGCTTCACAGGGTTCTCCTCACGTCTCGCCTCACCCGTGCGCGCTGGTCAGGATCTGGCATTTGGAGCTGCCCTCCCGTAGTCTGTTCTCTTGCGGAACCTTTGTTTTCTTGGAAGGGGAAAGGATGTGGGCTGAGAGAAAGGACTTTCCCTTCTTCCGTGTATTCCCCTAGCTTTTGTTCTCCGTTGACCGTTGAGGCTCACCAGCCAAACTAGCGTCAAACTGGGGTGGAGATTTCCCTCGGAGAAGGAGATTTACATCTTCTGTGTGTGTGTGTGTGTGTGTGTGTGGTCGCTTTGCCTCGACTTCTGCGTTTTGCTGGGACAAGTGTATAGAGTAGCTCACGTGTTTCACCTGGAATACTTCGGAATGAGTCATGGCAGAATAGCTAACTCCAGGGCCAAATATGCACTGAGCTGAACGTTCCCCTTATTCCGCTCCCCCCCCTACCGCCCCCTGTTGTCTTTTCTTTCCCCACCTCTGCCTGGCTAAGTGTCCACTCAGCTCATATTTATACTCGGAAGCCTCGGCTGCCTGCACATCCAGGCGTGACTGGTTGGCATCATAAACGTGTCCCATGGTCTCCTCCTCCTGTTCCCCATCTCCCCTTCTCTTACTGGAGTCCTTGCCCAGAAGGCCCCCCTTCTTCATCGCTGTTCTTCTCCGACTAGGCCAGAGGAGGGTTCTCCCACAGACCCAGGCGGCCAGCCTTGTCTCTCGCTCAGCGGCCCAGCCTGTGCGGTGGTCTGTGGGAACGTTGCCGCTTCGTCAGCGCTCGGTTTAATTAAGCCCACCCCGAGTCTGTTCCATAGTCCGGGACGTTGGTAAGATCCATATGGCTGGTGCTGTGCTGGCCTCAAATGCAGCGGGAGCCAGGAGGGGTCCTCACCCATCGCTGTCACCCGGTGCGGGATCAGGTGACCCTGGTGGGAGAGCTGGGGCCACAGACGGGAAGAACAGAAGAGAGAAGAGGGAAGGTTCTTCGTTGTGTCTTCTCCGCTTTGCCGTTCACGAGACTCTTGGCCAGTTCGCAGTTTGTGGACTTCCGTTGGGAAGAACCAGTCTGGCTGTGTGAACCGGCCCCTCCCTGAGAAGGGCACTTAACACTCGTCTTCTAACAAAACGTGGAAGCTGAGCTAATGGCACCTCAAGTGCCAGTCTCTCTCCCGAACCCCGTCTTTCCCCTCTTGCCTGCCACGGCCAGGTATTTAAAACGTGTACTTTTCTCTTCTGACCTCCACGTTCTTGGTGATCCACCCGTGAACTGAGAGAGTGGACTGCCTCCCCCGAGTAGGGACCCCCCTGTGGCTCCCACCCCGGCTCTTCCTTCTGGAATGGGAATCCAGTGGGAGGTTAGTCCTGTGCCTGCAAGCTGCCGGCTTTCTCTTCTGGCTTTCCCGAGCCCTTCCCCGGGCAGGGTTCCCCCCGCCTGCACAGCAGTCTTAGTTAGGGAACCATCCACAGCCGACTCCTGCACTGACCCTACTGCCGCTGTTGATTTCGAAGGTTCAAGGGCGCGACTGTGGGCTCTCGCAGGACTCACAGGTCCACGACTCCTCATTCATCGCCTGCCAGCTTTTGACTTGACCAGGCCTAGAGACAGGTGTACTACTTCACGAGCAGCGGAATGTCCTTCCTGCCTTCCTCCCTGCCCCCCCCCCCCCGACCCCACCTCTACTTATAATTACCATAATCATGTCAAAGTTTTACCTGATTACTGCTCCAGTGTTCTGTGCTGACGTTCTGGTCTTCTTTCTCAAATCACTGAATTTTCTTAATTAAACTTTTTTTTTTTTTTTTAACTTTTTTTAACGTCAGAGAGAGGGGGAGACACAGAATCTGAAGCAGGCTCCAGGCTCCGGGCTGTCAGCACAGAGCCCAACGCGGGGCCTGAACTTGCAAGCTGTGAGATTATGACCTGAGCTGAAGTCGGATGCTTAACTGACTGAGCCACCCAGGCGCCCCAGACTTTTTCTTTTTAAGTTGATTTGTTTATTTTGACAGAGGGAGAGAGGGAGAGGGAGAGAGAGAGAGAGACCGAACCAGCAGGAGAGGGGTGGAGAGAGAGGGGGACAGAGGATCCAAAGCAGGCTCTGGGCTGACAGCAGAGAGACTGATGTGGGGCTCAGACTCATGCTCCGTGAGATCGTGACCTGAGAGGAAGTTGAACGCTTAACCAACTGAGCCACCCAGGCACCATAAAGTTAAACTTTTTATTTTGGGATAATTTTAGATTCATGTAAAATAATATGGAGATCCTGTGTATCCCTTATTTACTCTCCCCCAGTAGTACTCTGCAAAACTGTAGAACAGGATATAGACATCACTGCAGTGAATCTATAGAATATTTCCATAACCACTGGGAACTTTCATACTGCCTTTTTAGAGCCACCCTACCTGCTGCTTAACCCCCAGCAACCACTAATCTCTTCTCCATCTTTACAGGTGGTGTTATTTCAGGAGTGCTTTATAAATGAAGCCACACCATATGTAACCTTTGGGGACCGGCTCCTTCCCTGGAGATGCACCCAGGTTCTAGCGTGGACGAGTAGTTTGTTCTTTCAAACCACTGAGTAGTAGTCCATCCAAGGTTGGACCGCAGGGTGTACACCTTTCAGTCTTCTCAGGATGTCTGCATTGTTTCCAGCGTGGGGTGAATTTTGAATACAGCTGCTATAAACACTTGTGCACAGGTTTTTGTGTGGACCTAAGTTTGAGTTTGCTGGGATAAAAGCCCAGGTAGACAACTGGTGGGTCGTATGCTGGTTGCACATGTATGTTTTTAAGAGACTCTTCCAGAATGGCTGAACCGTTTCTTATTCCTCGGACAGTGCATGAGTGGTCCAGTTTCTCTGCATCCTCACCAGCTTTAAAAAAAATTTTTTTAAATGTTTATTTAGTTATTTATTTACGAATGAGAGAGAGACAGAGCACGAGCCAGGGAGGGGCAGAGAGAGAGAGGGAGACACAGAACCCGAAGCAGGCTCCAGGCCCCGAGCCATCAGCACAGAGCCTGACGCAGGGCTCAAACTCCCGGACCGTGAGATCATGACCTGAGCCAAAGTCGGACGCTTAACCGACTGAGCCACCCAGGCGCTCCGAGAACATAGTTTTCATGTGTTTATGTGCCCTCTGTATATCCTTTTTGGTGAAGTGTCACTTGTGCCTATTTTCTAATTAGGTTGAGTGCGTGTGTTTTAACTGTTGAGTTTTAAGACTTCTTGTTGTATTTTATTTTATTTTTTATTTTTATTTAAAAAAAAATTTTTTTTTAACGTTTATTTATTTTTGGGACAGAGAGAGACAGAGCATGAACGGGGGAGGGGCAGAGAGAGAGGGAGACACAGAATCGGAAACAGGCTCCAGGCTCTGAGCCATCAGCCCAGAGCCCGACGCTGGGCTCGAACTCACGGACCGCGAGATCGTGACCTGAGCTGAAGTCGGACCTTAACCGACTGAGCCACCCAGGCGCCCCTTCTTGTTGTATTTTAGATAC